CAGGCACCTAACGCCATCGGAGGGAATTCGAGGGGCGCTAAATAAATTTGGGGTGAATATATGACGAACGAACGTAGAGAGAGGATGAGAGTGAGAATGGTAAAGGATGAATCTTAGGATAAGGCCGATGGGAGTTTAGCGAAGCTCAGTTAGGACAGTCAAACTAATTAATCTCGAGGGCAACTTAAAACTAGCAACGCTAATACGAATTAAGTGGGCAATTTTCTTAATGGGAAGGCCAGTGATATAGGAATGGGTGACTGGACGAATGATCACATTCAATTTATCAATGTAATTACCACCCATATGTTTGGCAGTGGTCATCGGGACTTCGAATGCCCTGTCCTTCACCTGCCCAACTGTGCCGCAAACCCAGCTGATCGGATACCTCTATCCCTAATCCGAGCAGTGAAGAAGCATCTCGTGCATCATGGTCTATACAATGAACAGAATCATCAAGCCTCTAAATTAAAAAGCATCTTCCATCAGATGTATTTGTATGCAAGGTGGATCTCTAGACATCTCCCTCAGGTGGATCTCAACACCATCTCAAGATCTCTATCAGGTGGATCTATATCTACATCTATCTCAGGATCTCATCACTATCTGGATCTCTCTCTAGATCTATCTCGGGATCTTTTCCAAGACTCTCAAGCTCCCCTGTTCTACCAGTTCAACTATCGAGTTCATTCCAGCAGCAAATAGCTCTGTTCCTCTACAACCAGCTGAACGACAGTGGACCGCGGTGCTGGATCAACCGCAAAGAAGGCGTTTGATTACCCGCAAGGAAGCAGTTATTATCCCCTCTTTCTTCTTCTTTTCTAAATCCCCTCGCTACATATGCTGTCGCACTACTCGAAGTGGGTTCCGGGGTTCTCGGAGAAGTTGCAACCGCTCTCTGCTACCTGCAGCTTCCCGCTGTCTCCGGGAGCCATCCACGCGTACGAGACGCTGAAGAGGGACATCGGTTCGGCCACCATGTCGGCCGTCGACGACTACGCCACGTTCGTCGTCGAAACTGACGCTTCAGACAGCGCAATCGCCGCAACACTGACTCAGAACGATAAGCCAGTGGCGTTCTTTTCTAGAACCTTGAACCCCTCTGAAAAAAGGCAACCATCCATCGAGAAAGAAGCTGCAGCAATCGTCGAGGCGATCCGCAAGTGGCGCCATCTGCTGATCGGAAAACACTTCAAGCTGTTAACTGACCAGCGTTCAGTCTCGTTCATGTTTGACAAAACATGCAAAGGTCGAGTCAAAAACGACAAGATCCTTCGGTGGCGTCTAGAACTGGCCTGCATGAGTTTCGACATCGTCTACCGACCTGGAATCTACAACACCGTGCCAGACATGCTGTCCAGGGCCGGACAGGTATGTGGAGCTGTTTCGGGCGGGTCCCGAGAGGCTATTCGTCACCTACACGATCAGATGTGCCATCCCGGTGTCACTCGCTTGAGCCATTACCTGCGCTGTCAGAATATTCCTTTCTCAGTGGACGATGTCAGAACTGTTATATCGCAATGTCGAACTTGCAGTATATGCAAGCCCTCTTTCGTTCGGTTGTCGGGTACCCTGATCAAGGCCACGCGTGTGTTTGAACGTCTAAGTGTAGATTTTAAAGGACCACTACCGTCTTGTACTGAGAGAGCTTATTTGTTCGTGGTGGTGGACGAGTTCTCGCGTTTCCCCTTTGCGTTTGCTGTGAAGGACACGTCTGCCGAGACCGCCATTCAGTGCCTGACATCACTTTTCACAGTGTTCGGCACTCCCGAGTTCGTGCACTCCGATCGTGGAGCCGCTTTCACATCAGTGCGGTACAAGGAGTTTCTCGCGATGAACCGGATTGCCCAAAGCTTCTGTTCAGCGTACAACGCTCCAGGTAATGGGCAGACTGAGCGATACAATGGTACGATTTGGAAGGCTGTAACCCTGGCATGTCATGACAAAGGCATCAGCCTCCGAGAGTGGGAGACTGTGCTTCCATTGGCGCTGCATAGTGTGCGTTCGCTGCTCTGCACCGCCACGAATCAGACTCCTCACGAGCGCTTCTTCTCACACCCTCGCAGGTCGGCATCGGGCCAGGCGCTCCCTACGTGGCTACTCGGTGCTGATCGTGTTCTGCTGAAGCGCACCAATCGAGCCAGCAAGTACGAGCCGCTGGTGGATGAGGTTGAGCTTGTACATGTGACTCCAACATACGCTAAAGTTCGACTACCTAGCGGTAGAGTGCCTACTGTCTCTCTTCGGCATCTGGCTCCAGTTGCGCGTTCTGATGGTGCGGAACCGACGTGTGAGGCTGGATCTGAGGTCGATGTTGGAGTTGGACTGGGTTCGTCCGATGACGGGAGTGGTTGCGTCGAGACAGAGATGGGCCCTGCTGAGGCTGAGCAGGCTGTGGTGGGCCCAAGCCCGCACTGTGATCGCAATGGGGCTATGAGGCAAGAGGTAACCAGTGTTCAAACTGAGAATACTGATCTGCGTAGGTCGACGCGAGTTAAAAGGAAGCCACGGTGGATGGACGACTATGATGCGTGATGTGTGAGCCGTGAGGTATGCGATGCTGCGCGTTGCGTTGCTTTAGGATCATTCGCTTTGGTTCATTTGCATTTTATGCATTCGCTAGGGAGAAGTTATGTTCTTTTTGACAGGGGGTGAATGTCGTATGTGTGTCTTACACTCCGTGCCTTGTGTTTCAGATGTTGCTAATAAAAGCCTAGCATCAGGCATTGTCTCTGAATCACCACAATATAGCCTTGCATTATAACAACCAAACAACGAAATAACACCCATGCAGGTACCCAGTGTATATAGAACAACATATAGGGTAAATATAGGGTATATAGGCAGCATTATAGGCAGGTACCCGACCCAAGTTTCTTACACCCACCAAGCCGGCCCAAGTAAGGCAAGTACGGCAAGAAGGCAAGTACTTGGCAAGTAACCAAGGGCTTCTGGCGCTACACAGGATCTCGACTTCACACAAAGATGCGAGTGGAGGACCTGCAAGCAGAGGATGGATCCATGGTTCGTGGGAGCCATGACAAGGCCAACCTACTGAACCACTATTTCCACAGCATCTTCACATCTGAAGACCCGGCCCTGCCAACACCACCACCGGCCTTCACGGGTCCCTCGCTAGACACCATAGACGTTAGCCCAAGGGCGGTCAGAGACAAGCTGCTGAAGCTCAAACCCGACAGCTCCCCAGGACCAGATGGACTGCACCCAAGGATACTGCGTGAGACGGCGACCATTATGGCTGAACACTGGGCACAGCTCTTCCGCCACTCCCTGGCCAGTGCTACCCTACCCACCGACTGGTGCAAGGACGACATAGTCCCCATCTTCAAGAAGGGTCCTAAGCACTACCCGGCCAACTACAGACCCGTAACACTGACTGCTGTTCCTTGCAAAGTTTTCGAATCATTGATCCGTGACCAGATGATGGAGTACCTGACCTCTACTGAGCAGCTAAGCAGTAAGCAGCATGGGTTTAGACGGAAGAAGTCCTGTGTCACTCAACTTCTTGAGACCCTGGACGATTGGACTCGCGATCTCGACGAAGGTAAACCTGTCGACGCCCTGTACCTCGATTTTAGCAAGGCTTTTAACTCGGTGCCCCACCAGCGACTACTGCTCAAGCTACACTCGTACGGCATCAAGGGCCAACTCCTGGAATGGCTGAGGGCCTTTCTGATTGATCGGCAGCAGCGCGTAACCGTCAATGGTACGAAATCAGAGTGGGTATCTGTCACCAGTGGAGTGCCTCAGGGAACCGTGTTGGGGCCCCTCTTGTTCCTGGTGTACATAAATGACTTACCTGACCACGTGTCGTCGACCATCAAGATGTTTGCCGACGACGCGAAGATGTACAGAAGTGTCAGCCAGGTTTCAGACGCCCAAACACTCCAGAGAGACCTGGATGCACTCATTGAGTGGTCGGATCGTTGGCAACTTCCCTTCAATCGCGCTAAATGCGTTTCCCTGCACTTGGGTCGCCAAGACGACAGGCAGGGGTATCACATGGGAGGCACCGAGCTCGTACAAGTTTTGGTGGAGAAGGATCTGGGGGTGCAGATGGACCACCAGCTGAAATTCCGAGAGCAAGCGGCGGCCGCCATCTCCAAGGCTTCCCACATCCTAGCAGTCATTCGGCGATCCTTCTGCGTCATCGACGAAACCACGTTGCCACTGCTCTTCCGGACAATGGTCCGCCCCCATCTGGAGTATGCCAACGCGGTCTGGGGGCCATTCAACAGAGCGGACCAGAAGCGGATTGAAAGGGTCCAAAGGAGAGCCACAAAGCTCGTCGCCAGCATCCGCGAACTCCCCTACGAGGCGAGGCTCCAGACACTTAACCTGCCGTCTCTCTACTACCGTCGTCGCCGCGGCGATATGATAACGGTCTACCAAGTGCTCCACGGGGGAGTTGACGTTGACGCGTCCAAGTTCTTTACGCGAGCAGCGACGTCCCGGACCCGTGGACACACATGGAAGCTTTCCAAGTCCAGGACCAACTCCAGAGTCAGACGAAACGCGTTCAGCGTGAGAGTCGTGAACGACTGGAATTCGCTGCCATCGACTGTTGTTGATGCGCCTTCAGTCGACTCATTCAAGGCCAGGCTCGACAGTCACTGGGCACGCTTCATGCACATGACTCACCCATACGACTGAAACATCACACAATACAGACAAACAGCTCGACAAGACCGGATCCCAGAGGCCAAGTGGCCTTTCTAAATTCCGCGATTTATAAGTATAAGTATAAGTATAACCAACGGACCATACGCTCACCGCGTTCGATGTCTCTCGGACGACGGAGATTCTACGTCGTCCGGCCAATCCTGTCCAAGGTCAGCGGGAGCTCGGTTGCGGTTATGGAACGTGATTGGCCGGACGGCGTAGAATCTTCGTCGTCCGAGAGACATCGAACGCGGGGGATGTTTACGCGCCATGTGTGCGAAGTGCGGCAGAATTGTAACGTAAAAACGGTGTCTCCCGCTGCGGTTGTGGGGCGTGATTACTGAATTACTGAATTTCAGAGTATATACAGAATTTTGCCTAGCCGGGGAAAAGGAAACAGTTGCTCGCATCAGCATGAGTAGATTGCAAGCAATGGGGAGGCCGGGCCGTATAGAGCAATGGTAAGGTAAGTAAAATATTTTTAGTTGCAGTCGGGCGCACTGTGGTATCTCCGATTCATTTATGGAGACGTTTCTATTATTGGAAACGTTTCCAATTTTGACTACTCTTCTGTTCCAAAAATGGAAACGCTCGTTCCATAAATAGAAACGCCAACATCTCCGCACATATTTTCTTGCCAAGGGTGGCTGGATTTGATGTATAACAACTGTTTCGCGTAAAACAAGCTCAGATACACCAAAAGCACTTGTCTTCTTGCATGGAAAGCTGTCGTATGCATTCAAATTCACATCTTTAACATGCGCCGGAATTGTATCCATTTATGGAGACTCAGTTTCCAAAAATGGAAACGCCAATGTTCCAAAATAGAAACGCTGAAGTTCAAATGTGTGCAAACTTAGCTTAAAGGGACCCTCCCACCTTCAAAAAAGTTAATGAATTGGCACGAAAGTGATGTCACTCGGTTCAGAAAGAGCGAAAACGAATATCTACCAAATTTCATAGAAAAATATTCACCGGTTTTCAAGATATTAGACTTTTACTTTTGTTTACTTTTTGGGATCTCCGCTGTTCCTAGCGACTTTATTTGAAAGTGCGGCATTTCTTGCGCGCAAAGCTGCATATACCACCGCGTGCTACCAAACGTTTTAGTAAAAGATTTAAAAATCGTTAGATCTCCGCTGACGTCACAAATTCTAAGGGGGCATACCAATGCACTAGCCCCTTAGAATCCGAAAACAGCAAGTTTGAAATTCCATATCTCCGAATTAAAGCATTTGTCGATGTTGTGAGTGCCCAAACCGGTATTTGCAGGCCATGGCCACCAATTTGGCTATCTCAACTCAAAACTAATGTTAAGGTGGGAGTGTCCCTTTAAATGTGTTTTTAAAATTCACATGCAACTTAAAATTTGATGTTTTGGGAGTGGTTTAGCATCTCGGCTCTCGGCAGTTACCTTGGACGTCGGGTTGGATAATAATACATTACGCGCCGCAACTTTAGCACATTCAAAAGTCAAGTAAAACTAAGATTTCCCAGAAACTACTGGACAGATGTGGTCCAAAGTGGGCAATACATAAAGCGTAGATAGCATTTCAATATATAAAATTGTTATCAATGTTACACATGAGCTAGAATGAATAAATTCATCGTCAGAATACAACGGTATTTGGTGTGACGACGGTGCAGACCTTATTTCCATCCTGCTTTTTACTTATTTGCACGGAGATTTACGTTGATCCGAGCCTACGATCGTATTCAGCACATTTGAAATATCATAAAATGCCCACTAAAGTCTCCAAATAGGGCTTTGCAGCAACTTTCATGCGATTAAATAAAAGATTGACGACCACCAGGCCACTGGTACACCGGAAAATGCAGCGTGAAAATGAATGAAAAACTGAAGTTCCTGGTGATGTGGTTGTTCCAATCAATGGGCCAGTCTTTCAGCAGTCTGTTAAAAACGTTATTTTTTGTTGAAAACATTCATAAATGTTATTATTTTCAATTAGAAAAACGTGTGAATTTTTTATCACGTCAACATGTTATAAACATCGCCTCGTTCGTCAACTTTCGGTTTTCTGATCGGAAAGTCGGAGAACAGGAACATAAACTAGAATGCTGGCTGTCGATTGGTGGCATCCTGCGCATGCCAAATTGCACCATGCCCAGTTTGCTTTAAAGGTAGTGATGCACACAGCGTCTCCATTTATGGAACAGACCGTTTCTATTTTTGGAAACGGCGTATCCATTGTTCCAAAAATGGAAACGTTTCCATAAATGGATCGGAAATACCACAGTGTGCCCGACTGGTTGTGCATCACACTTCAACTTCAGGCCGAGATACACAACCACTTAACCTAAAAATATTTGACTTACCATGCCTGTAATCTCATTGCCTGTAATCTGCTAAGGCATTTCCTTCGGTACTGCACTGCTACCCCCGAGTACGGGGCAGCATGCTGCTTTACGGTTTGTGCAGCATTTTAATGCACTTTCATCTGTAATCTAATTATGCATAATTAGATTGAGATGCATGCATTTTTGACTGAGCAATGAATTCAGTGAGCAATGCATCCACTTAGCAATGCATTCTTGACAGTATTTTATGTTTATCATATTAACAAAGTTTGCATCATTTCAGGGCATGGACACTGAAGTTGGTTCCACAGTTTTTCCATGGTCCAGTCAGAGTGTTGAGGAGTGCCTTTGGCCAGTGCACAGACCACCTCCATCTCCATGGGAGAATCAGATATCACAGCTGAGTGCGTCTCTGCTCTCTCCTCCTGTCTGTCCCACTATGACGGCACACCTGTCTGTGAGGCCCGCACCTCACCTGTCTGTGAACTGCTGGAGAAGGCGGCGCTGCGGCTGACGGACACGGATCCGGCGCTGGCTCAGCCGAGCGCCGCCGACCTGCTGGCGCCGGCCGCCGACCTGCTGCGGCTGCACCTGGCCTGCTACGGCACGGCCCGGGTGGCTGCCCGGCCCGGCCGCGAGTGGCCCGTCAATGTGGACGTGAGCGGCGAGCGCGTGCGGCTGGTGCCGCGGCCGGAGAGGCGCGCGCACACCGCTTACACCACCGAGCCGGTGCTCGAGTGGCACCAGGTGCTGGCCGTGCGGCCGGCGCCGGCGGCCGGCTCGACCAGCACCGAGAAGGGTGGCAGTACCCCCAAGACCACTGGCAGCCATGAGGCAAAGTCCCCAAGATGTGCCGACTCGACCGCCGCCACCAGGGCTTCCGCCGCATCCGATGTGGCCACACCAGTGGCAAATTCCAGTCGTGGCCTGCGGCTGCTGCGGGAGAAATACAAACTCGGTGCACCTAGCCCGTCACCCGAGACACGCAGCTCGCCGGGGAATCGCCCGGAAAACACCAGTGACGTCACCACGCCTAAAAGTAGCGGTAAACAGGCATCCAGAGCCAATCTTTCGACCCGGTCAGCCACCAACCTCACCCTCGCCCCAACTCCTGAACTAAAAGCAACAACCAAGAGAGTGTCGTTCGGGTCGGGATGCGGCACTCCTGCTGGGTCGGGACCCGCTGCGAACTCCCGCGCCCGCTCCCGCAGTCGGTCGCGGAATCAACCTGCCGATCTGCTCAGCCGACGCGGCCGCTCGGCCAGCCTGGCTGCCGGCAGGGCCAGGGGCGTGCCGAACAGGGTATCGCGTGCCGGCGCCACCCCCGAGCCGCCGCCGCCGCCGCCGCCGCCGCGTCTGGTGCGGGCGGTGAGCGTGGCGGCCGGCGGAGACCTCTGGTGCACCACCTCTGCCGACTGGGAGCACCAGCTGAGGACCATCAGCGCGCGCGCAGAGGCCGCCACCGCCGCCGCCGCCGACAAACGGCCCGAGACACTGCTCTACGGACAGCTGGTTATCCACCATGTGAGTACCGACGGGCTGCCGAGGCGGGATACGATTTGGGATTTCAAGTTTTGCGAGTGCAATTGGGACCTGGGCTGCATGCCGTTGCTTTTAAAGTTGGTGTGCTTATTTCAATTTTTTATTTCTGACCGTTTGGTTTCCCATGGGCCATGAGTGCTACGTCAAGAACATTGAACTGAACAATGAACACTGAACTGCCTCTGGTAATTGCTTGTGGCCTGCTCACTGCACGAACACCGCTAAGACCCAGCTGCCCCTCCCCCCCCCACCGCTGACACCCGCTTTGCACGGCTGCTGCCGTCAGAACTGCGTGCTGCCCGAGCTGCCGCGCTTTGTTCGCTGTCTGAGCCTGCAGCGGCGCGCCGCCGAGCCGGTGCTGGTGTGGCTGTGTGACGCGGCGCGCGCGCTGCTCGTGCCGCGCTGCACACTGCTGTCGGCCTGCAGTGACGGCCTGCAGCTGTACCGGCAGCCGCCGCTGCTGGTCCTCCTCACCGGCAAACGTCAGTCACGGCAGACCGGCTCCGGCGAGCCGCGGCCACACCCGGCTGCGACGGCGGGAGGGGACTGGGACTGGGAGGGGACGGGTGGGCAGGAAACTGGAACAGGGGATGGGAGATGTCGCTAGGGAGCTGGGATGGGACGGGTGATAGGATGTTTTTAAGTTACTCAGGTACGTTGGGAGATGGCATTGAAAGGAAATTACTCTGCAAGTGAATCATCGGCTGCTGAAGCATATAACAAGACTGTTTTTTTCTTAATCTTTTGTCTGTGGTAAGTAACGCCCTCAGTTTTCAGAAACGACAGTGTGAAGAGGCTGTTTAGTGTTTTTGTTACTACTATCAGTATTTCTGCTGGCTGAGATCGTCGTGGGATTGAATTATGCCAGTCTGGTGCGCTGTGATAGAGTGATCACCGTCGGACCAGTGGACTGCTGTGGCGGCTGCCGCCGGTCTGTGTCCTGCCCTGTCCCGGCCTGTGACCGTCCCCTGTGGCCGCCGGTCGGTCGGCAGGCCTGCCTCTGGTCGTGCCAGCGCGTCTGGTGGCCGCCTGTCTGTCGCTGCTGGCCGGCAGCCTGCCGTGGCTGACGGCTCCGGAGCCGGCGCGCCGCCTGGCCCACTCGGGGCTGGCCGTGCTGGCCGCCGAGGTTGGCTCACCGGAGGCGCTGGAGCTGCTCACCAGGATGGCGCGCCACCCGGCCACGGCGCCGCCGCTGCGCGCCGCGGAGGTGGTCGCGCCGCTGGCAGGTGGGAATGGGACGGGGCGGGGCGGGGCACTCGGTCGGGGGCAGGGCAAGGCTATGGGACCGACTGTGGCTGCGCCGCTAGCACGGTGACGGGAGAGGAGAGCTGCGGGCGGCCGCGCCGCTGGTAAGTCGGTGCGATCATAGGAGAGGGCGGTTGGATCAACAGGGGGAGCTGTGGAACTGGTTATGACCAGGTAAGCGCGACGTGTGTTGCTGCGTGCGAGCACGCTGTCGTATTCCCGTGATGTGCCTGTGTGTCTGTCCCTGTGACTGTGATTCTGACCGTCTCTGCGCTGTGTGTGTGTGTCTGTGACTGTGTGGCTCTGTTGTAGCTGTGTCAGTGTGTCCGTCCCGTCACCCTGCCCGTCTCTGTACCGCCGCAGACCTGGCCGGCGACCAGCTGGACCTGCCGGAGCCGGACGAGGCGCAGCTCTGCCGACTGGTGCGGCTGCTGCGGGCCGCCGTCGGCGCCGGGATGAGCGACCCGGGCCGCAGCCTGCTGGCCGGCTCCCCGCTGCTGCACGGTCAGTGAAACCTGCCAGTAAATTAACCCTTAGCGACCCGGGCCGCAGCCTGCTGGCCGGCTCCCCACTGCTGCACGGTCAGTGATAATGTCCCGGTCGCGCAGCTCATTTGCTAACAGATAGGAGAATATGGAGATAACAGATGGGCACAACTAACATTACTAAATGAGGTAGTCTAGTAAGTCTTTATTACAGAATTACCGCTGACTAGCTATTCCCCTGTCTGTGTTGTGAAGGGCTGCTAGTCTCGTCTGGAACGTCGGCTGACTGTACCCTGGTCCCTGTCTGTGTTCCACAGGGCTGCTGCGGCTGGTGAAGGGCCCCCGTCTTGAGCTGGAGGTGCGCCGTCTGGTCAGCCGGCTGCAGGAGAACGATACGCCGGCGGAGGGGCCGACCGTCCCGGCGGCCGCCTCCACGCCGAGACAGGTGCGGCCGGAACGACGGCCAGCGACTGGGCTTGTGATAAGCTCGGGGCTGGTGCAGGGCTGGGCTGAAAAAAATACGCTTGATGGATCTGCTCGTGGGAATGACTGGTTGTGTCAGTTGTGTCAGCTAGGGAGAATATTTTGATGAAAACATGGGGCCAATGGCTCGCGAAATCTTTGATTCAGTGACGGTCATGTGATGCCCCTCCGTCTCCAAGACCGTATTTACTGTGTGATATGACTCGCCGTTGTGCCGGCAGCTGCCGGCCGCGCCGGGGTCGGCCGGTCTGTCCCGCCGGGTGCGGCCGGCCGGTCCGCCGCGCCGCGCCCAGTCCTCCACCCCCGGTACACAGACCTCGGCGGCTGATACCGCGAGGTCGGCCGGGGCCGCGGCGGCGCCCGCCCGGCCCCGACTGCCGGGAGCCAGTGCGGCGGCGGCGGCGGCAGTGGTGAGGAGAGCGCCACCGCTGCTGCCCACTCCGCCCGATCCGGCGCCGCCCGTGGCGCCCGGCCGGCTGGTCCGTCTCAACGAGGAGGAACTGCGCGCCGACGGTGGCGCCGACGGGCGGCCGCCGCCCGAAACTGACGGTCAGTGGGCCGCAGGCGTGCACTTTTTATACCGTTTGGTGTGACTGCTATTCAATGTCCATCTGGCTGGTAGGCATCCTGTTACAGTGCAGTGCTTAGGTTTGTTGTTAGTCAGCAAACAGAAATGTGATGTCATTGTTGTTTTTTATGTCCCTTTTCCATGGATGGGGCTCCTAACAGGCAGCTTACCCCCTCTCTGCCCTCGCAGCGGCGCCGGCGCGGCCGCCGGCCTCGGTCATCGAGTACCTGCGGCGCGGCCAGCGCTGTCGCCTGCGCACCAGCCTCTGCCTGCAGCTGGAGGACGTGAGGCGTGTACAGGACATGGGGCAACAGCGGCTGGCCATGGTGAGTCGCCAGCGCCACCCGGCGGCCAACAGACGTACTACACCTTTTTGCGTTAGCTTTTGACCATTGAGCAAAACATTTGTACATATTCGCCATATAGGTGGCGCTACAAATGGGCGGTTGGTCACAAAGAATCACCATTGTGCCAAACTATTCGGCGATCCTCCTCTACAACTCGACATTGAACGAATGGTTCAACATTGTGCAAAACAAATCGTTAATGGTCGAAACTATTCGTTATATGCCGAGCTGGCTCCGTCTATGCCGTAGTCTGGCGAACTGTTGAACTGTTTTGCAGATCGCTTGTTTTGTTTTGTTTGTTTTGTTTTGTTTTGTTGGGTTAGGCCCTTTCGGTCCAATGAGACCATTTCAGAGCCGGGAGGATGATAGGATATAGGGGGAGACATTGGTCTGGGCAGGCACCTTAGTGAGTCGCCGGGGCTGAGCCCGTCCAGAGGACAGGCCACCCAGCCCCAAGGCACTCACTGCACTCGGCTACGGGGTGCGCTCCCTCGGCCGCAGCGGTGCCGCTCCAAGGGAGCAGCCCGCATGAGATAAAGTTGCCTGTCCAGCCCGGAGAGGGGTTGCGGCGTGGAGAAGGATTTCAATATCCTGAGGATAGAAGCACGGAACGGTGCAGCTGATCGCTCATTTCAGTGTTCAATATATTTTGCTGAATGGCTGAAATGAAACACACCACGACGGAGTAGTTGTGCTCAATGCCGATTGTCGAAATGGCTCCTCAAACAGTTATGGCGAATGGTTGATTTCATATGCAAAAAGGTGTAGTGTGCGAACCGAACAGTACGCTCATATGGTTTAGGGAGTGATGGGGCGGGTATAGCTTCTTTGTGTATGTGGGTGTTAAACGGCTGTTGGTCAGCGCTTTGAAACACATGCTATGTAGTCGATGTGCAATAACTGAACGCCTCGTACTGCCTCTGGCCAGCTTCTGTGCGGTCTGCTGAACGCGGGCGCCGGTGGCGCCATCTACTACGGTGTGAGCGCCGACGGCCGGGTGAACGGGCTGCAGCTGGACGGTGGCCACCGGGACCGGCTCAGACTCGGTGAGTGGGGGGGGGGGGGGAGGCAGTCACCGGGACCGGCTGAGACTCGGTGAGCGGGGGGGGGGAGGCAGCCGCCGGGACCGGCTCAGACTCGGTGAGTGGGGCTCTGTGTGTGGCGGCGGGGGGGGGGGGGGCGCAGCCACCGGGACCGGCTGAGACTCGGTGAGTGGGGCTCTGTGTGTGGCGGCGGGGGGGGGGGGGGCGCAGCCACCGGGACCGGCTGAGACTCGGTGAGCGGGGCTCTGTGTGTGGCGGCGGGGGGGGGGGGGGTAGGGGGAGGGGGGACGCAGCCACTGGGATCAGCTCAGGATGGTATGTGGGGGGACCGACCTCTAATTTCGGTATGTATGTTTTGTGGGGGGGGGGGAGGGGGTACACAGACTTGGTGAAAGTATGGTGGCCGGCGCTGGGACTGACTTTGAGGCTGGTGCCGTTTGGTATGTCGGGGAGTGGGCCTTACACTCTGTACCTGACTGGCGTGTCTCTCTGCACAGGCGTGGACAAGGTGGTGAGTCACCTGCTGGAGCCGGCAGTTCCGTCCGACTGCGTCCGGCTGCAGTTTGTTCCCGTCCTGGAGAGCGGCCAGTCGGCCAGGGACCTCCGGCTGAGCTCGCACACCCTGTTCGTGGTGGTCGTCCACTGCCTGTCCCCGCCGGTAGGTTAGACCAGTCCCCGCCGGTAGGTTAGACCAGTCCCCGCCGGTAGGTTAGACCAGTCCCCGCCGGTAGGTTAGACCAGTCCCCGCCGGTAGGTTAGGCCAGTCCATACCGGTAGGTTAGACCAGTCCCTACCGGTAGGTGAGACCGTTTTCCCCCTTCTGGATGTATGAACTATGAGCTTTGTGTCCTATGAGCCATGTGTCCTGAGCTGTGTGAGCTACATGAGTTGTGATAGCTGTGCGAGCTATCATGCATCCTGCGGCTGTGCGAGCTCTGTAAGCTGTAAGCTGCTGATGGCTCAGCTCACTGCCGAGTCAATGTTTTATTGACCCTTACTGTGATCCTGGCTCCGGCCGGCTCCGGGTTTTTTATGCGACGGCTAGATAACTATTTTGGTACAGAATCCTGCGTCAGTCTGACTTATTCGCTGCTATGTTTCTGTGTTACCAAGGTTACCAGCTGCACCCAATCACTTAACCGGAGAGCTTGTTCAGTGCGTCGCACGCCACTTGTGTGCCGATGTACGCCCCGCTAGACAACCAATATCGCAGCAGCCAGTGTCCCACATTGTATTTTTGCCTGGGTGTCAGAGGGGAAAGTTACTCACCAAAAGGATAAGAGTGATAATTGTCGATGAGACAAGGCCCAAAAAGAGAGGAAAAGATCAAAAGTATGAACTTGTGTACTATTTTGGCAGATGTAGGATGCTTAACGACCACTAACGCAAATTATTGGTGGCATTGGGATTTGGCTGGTAGAATTGGGATTGGGTTGGTGGAATTGGGATTGGAAATTTTTGTCTTAACGCGCGCCGTGCTGTTGACCTGAACTTTCCGCCGAGTGACGCCTCCCCCCCCCCCCCGCCCCCGTCTAACTCGGCTCCTGGACAGTGGACCACGTAGCGGCACGCGGTAAGCGGCACTCGAAAGAATACTTAGATGTATAATACTTAGATGTTTTTAGGATTAGTACTTAGGGTAAAGTGTTAAAATTGGATTATTGTTATTTATGGTAGCAACAACTTGTGATCGGTGGTGCAAAGAATGTTATCCGCTCTTTCGCCATCTCTGCTTCAAATATGAATGTTTCAATTGTTCACTCTGAAAAGCCACAAGGCGAAATATCAGTCTCTTTATATATATTTTGTTTTTTCGTCATTTTTGTTTAAGTATGAGCAAAGGCTATTTCATCATCACTAAAACAATAATACTAACAATGCTCATCACAACCATCAACCATATATGATTTCAACAATTCTTAAACACCCGACGGGTAACTCGGCAACCAATAGACCTACAGCGCCGCGGAAAAGCACAAAGCACATTCGATGGCTCTTTTAACCTCTTTCGCTAACGTGTCCTCAGATTTGACCTCAGACCAACGGTTTAGCCTCCAGAGGGCAAAAACCCTAAAAATAGGCACTTTTCATGATAAATGTTTTCGGTAATAGCTTGACTCTGGTGAGCCACGACGTCACTTTTGCCAGCATCGTGTTCCTCTCGTCAAGACGCGTCGAATGAACTGTAATTTAACCTGCAAAGGTCATTTTGAAAAAAATGACCTCAGGTCAGGGTTATGACCTGACCGGAAAGGGTGATGCTGCATATCAGTCGATCCGTATCGTCGAGCTGAGCACATCTGACGTGTTTTCACCGCTCTAGCACCTTTCTGTCAAAAGTTATAGTAAAAAAGCTGCTGAAAATCTTTCATGACCTCAGGGGCACACAGGTTCTGTTGCAATTTTCCGATTGATTATGTTATGTTTACCTATGAACCGATGTTTGAGAGTGCTAAGAAAGGCATTCCTCCAAAAGAGGCGCATTTTAATTTTCTCCCATTGACTTATAATGGAGAAGTCGCAAAATTGACCTGACCTTAGGTTACAGATAAATCCGAGATATGCATTTTATGCATACCCTAAGCAATCACTGAAAGATTCAAAGTGATCGCTCAGTCGGTGTAGCTACAGCGAACTTTACTTTTTCTGAGGTAAGGTTTCTTGACGTGACCTGGTGACCTGACCTTGAATGACCGAGGTCTGAAATTATCACTAAATTTGCGGAAAAGACGTAGGAACAGGTGTACCGAAAACGGCGGCACAAAGCGCCGCCGTTTGTGAGATATTCGCGAAAGACCTGGGGGGGGGGGGCGGCGTAAAAACGCCCCCCCCCCCCAAGCACGGCGTGGGTTAATTCCCATTAATTGAAAGTGAGTCTGACAAATTATATTCATTTGGATGTCGTTTCTCACACAAATCCACACATTTTGAGACACAGACATTTGACTGCGGGCGCTCAGCGGCCTGCATGCAACGCATCCACTGGTGACATAGTCTACTGTGAGCTTTTCGGCCAAGGAAGCTCAGGATGACTGTGTACTTTGTGTACCGTCTATACGATAGTCTGATTATTTCGCACGATTCCTGATGACGTCAGCGCTGAGCAGCTGAGCGGTATGTCACGTCATGGTGTGCTCACGCCTCGGCACACTCGCGCCCCAAGGGACCCGACGAAGCCGACAGGGCGACTCTTTCGCTTATTTTGTGCTGGAAACTTCACTGCCGTGCATGTTTTCACATGTTCATGAACCGTGAGGCACAGCGAATTGGATTTTCCACTTTCTCGTTTTGTGTAATTGTATTTCGAAACGCGATGAATGAGAAAGTTAAACAGACGGGCACAGATGTTACTTGTCATTGAAATTTAGAAATAACAGCAAATTATCCAGTTAAATTGTCTTTCTTTCTTGCCACAAACTTAATGAATGCAATGTTTTAGGTCGTGTCTTTGGACGTGGTTTGTTAATTGACCTCCAACAATCATGGTTTTTATTCCTCACGTTATTGACGGTTGCTGTTTCACAAGTGTAGCGAAGTATGATTATCGTAGCAGCACTCTTCGTGTGTGCCTGATTTTCCGCCGCTCCCACCCTGTCGCTGGCAGCGGGAGGTGTTCCTGGTGCGGTCGCAGCAGACGGCGTTCCTGCGTCGGGCCGGGCCGGCCGGGGAGCCGCAGACCGCGCCGCTCAGCCTGCCGCAGCTCCGCCAGCTGGTGGCCGCACAAGAGATGGCGCTAGTGAGCGGCCGCCAGGCGGCGCTGGAGTCTGCCACCGCCTGTCTGCGCCGTCTGCTGGCCCCCGCGCCGGCCGCGTGTGGCGACTGCGGGGGAACGAAACCGGCGACCGCGGACTGTCGCAGGCAGGTGGCTGCTTCTGGGGAGGACCGGTCCGGTGGGTGGACTGACTGACTGATCGGGAGGGATGGGGTGTGGACTGAGGCGGACTGGACGGCAGGGGGACTGGGATGTGGACTGAGGCGGACGGGACGGCAGGGGGACTGGGATGTGGACTGAGGCGGACGGGACGGCAAGGCTACGAGGTGATCTGAGGCGGATTGAGCTCACCCAAACATGACAGTGTTGAATGAATCAAAAGCTGCTAGAGCATTTGCGGCAGCTCTCTGGCCCCTGAACATTTAGGAGACAACTGTCTCTCTTTTTTCGTTTTTTTTTTTTAGGAAGGAAACAGCTAGTCACCAGGAATTAATTTTCTGGTTATCGTTTTTGCAGTATCGATGCTGTATTTCTGATCAGTCCTTACTAGGTCAATACAGCAGAAATTCTGGGCATTTTACTCACCTGGGATACTATGCGATGTCGCTAAAGTACAAATTACGGAGTCTTACAGTTGTGCCAGCTGAGTGAATAGTTTACGTACAAAAAAGTTTGTCCGTGTTTTTGCGGTTTGCAGGCCAGGTGCGGTTCTTCCATGGCTCGTATTGCAAATATGACGCTTGCTTTGGCTGCATTTTGCGAGCCTTCACTGTAACATAAGGGTGGCGGGTGTTTTCGTATGCGACGCGTTCGGCGTGATATCGTTGCATCTCAACAAACCATTTGACCCCGCCCCGGAGGTCACGTGACGTAGTTCAGTAACCCGGCGTCTGCTCAATGCCGTTACAAAGGCTATACCCCGATCTACATCTACATCTACATCAATGCGTGTTACGTGGCGTTTTTCGTAATTTTGTTCCCAGGTCAATTCGGTATTCATGGTTATGGATTTGTACGCCGGAGTGAACTCAGGAACACGCGTTGTTGCTCATTTTTGTGTCGTTGCTATCCATTGTGATCCTATGAAGACATTGGTAGTTCTCGATTGCCACCATCGCTGCGAGCTGCGTGTGCCACCACCGGATTAACCCGGTGCCTACTTACTTCGAACAATTTTGATTTGTGTTGCTCATTCGAGCTTTGTAAAGCAATGCCTTTGTCCAAATGCGTGGCGCTTGGTATGCACAGTGCATACCTACTGCAGTGTTAGCAGCTGCACAGTGCACATTGGTTTGAGAGTGGTTGAGTTGTTTATGGTTATACAGCGTTGGTTATACTCTAGCCAGGATTACATTGATGAAAATACATTTTTGTACTTAAGTATATCGATGTAATTGAAGTTCCGAGACCCGAGTACATGCTATGATGTAGGCATTCATTATATTTTTCTACTTCCTTCCTCAGTGGTGGGTTGATACTTGATGCCATTGAATGTAGAACAGATTTTCTACGACGGTCTGTGTTTATAAATGCATTTAACTACAGAATACGGATTGTATTCTTTAGATACCTTTTAGCACTCGCACCAGGACGATGAGTTTATGATCCATTCCCACTTATTGATTATTGCAGACCCTGGATGTAGCTTAGGTCAGTCATTCAAGTGTAACGAGCAGATTTCACTGCGTTCTCCCCGCATTACTTGACAAATAGATAGTCACGGCCACATAACCTCGCCGCCCCATCCTCATACTCTGCCGAGCTGCCTCTAGTGGATTGCTGTCTGATGCGTAGCGGTATGAACAGAGATTTACCGTAGCTGTCGGCTACAGCTTACATTACTTGATCAAAACACGTATCGGCTCTCAGCCGGCCATTTTCAGAAAGTAGCTCAGAATGTGCGTCTGTGGACTGTGGCTATGCCAGTTTGCCACAGGCGGCCTGACAGGCAGTCTCAGCCTTTTCCTCTGCAAACTGCCTTGGAAGACATCTTACGGTGTTGGGTATGAATTGAAAAGCCCATTTGCTGAATTTTCGGGCGCTATCATATATCGTTATCACATACCTATGCCACGCAAACATCGTCTGGTTGCAGATAGTTTAGTGGAACAATCGTTGCAGAGACACTGAATCATCCAGGTTTTGCCTCAGTTATGATTACGGTAGCAACATTTAGTATCCGACGCACAGTAAGAGCTGGGACTTCCCATAAGGCTGGCTTAGGATTCAGTTTTCCATATTGTGATTTGTTTGGAGAGCACGTAAGCCTGCTTCCTGTCCCTCACCAAGCAATCACATATCAGAGACCGGTGTCATCCCGCCCTAAGGCATCGCTGTTCTACATTTGTTCCCTAAGCCGGATCTTATATCGGTGATGTCTTGAAGAGCTCAGTTTGTGATGGGCTTCTGGCACCGGTAATCTCTGGGGTGGATGCGGACCGTCTCTCGTCTGCGCTGCACTCCTTGCTGGTGCCTCGCCCTGCATGCCACGGCTCGGCGTCTCTAGACCCAGCTCGCGATTCGGTTCAGCTGCATTAACCAGGTCCCGTTACCGACTTGGTTCGTCCCACACGCCGTCATCCTCTCGCACCTCGCGTCCGCTGCGGTTCACCATGGTCTATGTGCTGGTGAAGATCGCCGTCGGCGCCATCCTGATGGTGGACTACTCGATCCCGCTGCTGATCGTGCTGCTGCGCCGCTCCCTCTGGGACGAGCCCATGGTGCTGCTGGTGGCCAACCTGTGCGCGCTCAACTTCGCCTTCGGCCTGTCGCTGAGCTCGATCGGCCTGCTGGACCTGGTGTGGCAGCCGCCGCCGGCGGTGCCCTGCGCGGTCATCATGGCCAGCAGCGCCGGCGGCGCCGTCTCCGTCAAGCTGACGCATGTGGCGCTGGCGCTGGACCAGTACCTGGCCATCAGCCGGCCTCTGCACTACTACCCGCGCATGGAGCCGATCGCCGCGCCCTTCGCGTTGTTCAGCTGGGCCTGGGCGGCGCTGCACACGGCCGCCGGGCTGGCCGGCAGTCTGGCCGGCCTGGAGACGTCCGCGCAGCGCGTGGAGCGACTCACCAACGCCACCTCGCCGTTCACCGGCTGCCGCTGGGAGCGCGTGCTGCCCGGCGCGTTCATGATGGTCAGCGAGCTGGAGGTGTTCCTCTCCTCCGTCTGCACGTGCTCCATTTTCATCTACGCCGGCTACGTGGGCTGGCGCGAGAAGCAGCGCATGGAGGCAGCGCGCGCGCCATCGCGCCGCGACCGCCCCCAGCCCGAGGAGTCGTTCTTCCTGGCCAACTTCAGCGCGTTCAAGCGCGTGCTGCGCCTGATGCTGCTGGTGCTGACGGTGGACGTGGTGGGGTCGGTGCTGCGCCTCTCGTCGCCCTGGTACCCGGCGCCGCAGCTCAACGGGCTGGTGCACCAGCTGCGCCTCAGTCTGGGCGTGGTCGAGGGCTGGGTGTACGGCCTGCAGAACGGCAAGATGCGCGCCGCCTACAGAGAGGCGCTGGGCTGTTGCGGCGGCCGCTGGCTGCGCGCCGGCGGCCGCGTCATGCCGCAGCAGCCGGGCGCGGACCCGGAGCCGCCCGAGGAGCGCCAGGAGCGCCAGGACGGGGAGGACGACCGGCGGCCCGTGTACGTCATCTCGCTGTCCGGCAGGAGGGGGAGAAACCAATCGGTGGAGGAGGTCCAGGAGCAGGGCGACGGGCCCTCCGGGACGGCCGGTCCGCCGCCGTCAGTCGCTGTCATTGCGTGGTCAGCGGCGAATCAGTCCGTGACTGGCCCGTCAGCGCAGTCCAATGATCGACCCTAGGTCACAGCCTGGCCGGCTCGAGGTCACAGTTTGACCTGCCCGAGGTCACAGTTTAATGGACGGCCCGGGGTCAGTCACAGCCTCCAGTTTGTGAGGTCACAGTTTGACCTACCCGAGGTCACAGTTAAATGGACGGCCCGGGGTCACAGCCTGGCCGGCCCGAGGTCACAGTTTGACCTACCCGAAGTCACATTTTAATGGACGGCCCGGGGTCACAGCCTCCACTTTGTGAGGTCACAGTTTGACCTACCCGAAGTCACAGTTTAATGGACGGCCCGGGGTCACAGCCTGACCGGACCGAGGTCATAGTTTGACCTACCCGAGGTCACAGCCTAACGATCGACCCTAGGTCACAGCCTGGCCGGCCCGAGGTCACAGTTTGACCTACCCGAGGTCAAAGCCTGACTGACTTGAGGTTATAGCGTCATCGACCAAAGATCATCGCGAATCTAATTCATGTCCTTGAAGTTAGCCAACATCCAACGCAACACAATTTGCAACGTTGAACTATATCCATAAAAACTGGGTTGTGGGTCAATTCGAACACGCTTGTGATGAATATCACCCTCAAACTTCCATCAATAGTCAAAAAAAAAAATCGTTGTTTCATTTGGGACCAATTGCAACGCCGTGCAATGTACCGTTTTCCCGGAAAAGTACACTCTGTCATTGTCTAAGGGGTTTTTGACTATTTGTGGTTTTCCGTTCTTTTGACGGAATTTTAAGGGTGATATTCATCACAAGCGTGGTCGACCTACAACCCAGTTTTTATGGATGTAAAAACTGGGTAACTTCACGGACATATCTAATTCTTGATTGGGACTGGACATAAGATAAAAACGTCCATAAGCTTATGGGTCGGCATCTGCTGTTGATGAAAATGGATATTTTTCGGTTTCCTTTGTGTAGATATAGGCAAAAGTAGGAAGTACCTACCTAATTTATAGGTACCTACTTGTCACAATCTTAATCAAAATGATACAAGTGAACCGATCCCAAAGCTCCTTTATCATCAATACATATATTGATCATTTCACAGAGCGAGGGTAATAGAATAGTGAATAGGCCGTATAAGCTGTCGGCGAAGGATCCAATACGTAGATGATGAGAGCATGCTCCTATAGGTACCGACATGCAAAAAAGAAACGTTTGCAGCGTTATTTGTTTTCCGGAAAAAACTTGGAAATTGGATGTCGCCGAATAGGTAGGTATACATATGTATGTTAGGTGCAATGTAATGTCACCGGACAATTTTCAGTGACTGTGCACTGGATATCTGCTATGTGTATGTGCTGTGTAGTGTGATTGTTGGCTCGGGTTACGGCCGAGAAGTGAACTGTAGGTACCTAGACATATTGCGCGCGACGTTCAGTGTCCGGCTGCCAATATAGGATTTACATATGTTCCTGTGCAAGTTGTGCACTACACGTACAGCCCTCTGCAAACTGCGTGGTAGGTAATAGGTATTCTTTTTTTCAATAACTCAAAGGCTATGTTATCTGTCGGTCGGATCTCATCGCATATGTATATGTAGATGCGCCATGCTCCACTCCTTCGATTGCCCATTGGTACCTACTATCTGTTAGAAATTAGAATCTTAGGTACCTACTAGGTATCACTGAGCAAAGTATATGCCTAGTGTACAAATTGCAAAAGTATGTTTTGGGGGCAAATATAAACTTTTGTGTAATGTTGCCAAACTAAATGGAAAATGTGTACCAAAATAAGCCCAATCTAAGGTGTGGAGTCTCGCGTCTTGCTGTTACGATTTCAAGTGACCGTTATCATAGTATACGCGTTATTCTCGAGGGTAGAGATTTGCTGGACACGGGACAAGCTGTCTGAAATGTTTGTTTTGGTGATGAACTTTGGTAACTGGTTCATAGTTAACCCTCGCTGGCCGAGGGGGTGCCCCCCTCCATATGTTTTTTTTTCGCGATAGCTCCGAACGCGCCGGCGATAGAGAGCTGAAACTTGAAACTTGACATACCTAACCTTTGATTCAAGCCGGATCTTTTGACACCAACTGCATTTTCTGACCTATGACGTCATAAGTGAACCTCTGCACGGTCTTCAGATTTCGCAACTTCGCAACGCCCTCACTGCCAGGAAATTTCACAGGGAAATGAAACTTGCAGGACCTAGTACCTATCCATTAGAAGTGTCACAACTTGCATATCTCTGATTTTTCCTTAACCCGCGCACCGACGGGGGTCTGCGCCAACTTAGTACCGACGGGGGGGGGGGCGGATGATGATAATTTATATACCCTGAGATCTCGAGAACGAAGCAAGATAGCGACAAGCGGTAAACGGCATCGGATACGCACGGTCAAGATCTACAATTTTTACTAAGGTCATTTTCAGGTCAGGTCAAAGATGACGTCACAGGGGTCGAAAAAGTCAAAATGGCGGCGCTAAATATGGAGAGAGTTTTTCTCGAATAACTTTCGAATTAGTCAATATAGGAACAAACTAAGGGCATCATCGTGATCCTCTCGTCAATCCGCATCGAATGATATATATGTTGACCTCGAAAGGTCAAGGTCAAAGGTTGACCTCAGGTCACGTGACCTCGA